GAAAGCGCGGCCTGCCTCTCGAAAGTAGGAGAGAATGATTACACGGCCAGCGGCGTAGGCGAGCGCCACGGAAGGAAAGCGGTCCCTGGTAAAAAGGGTCAAACGCGTACGTTCTCGTCTCGCGAGCAACTCCGTCTAAAGCACGACAAAGCGAACCAACGACCGTTTGTGTGTCGTCGTTCACGTGTCTGTTACCCCACGGAGGTCCTCCGCCTACATAGGTAACGAGAAACCGTTGACCAACCTCCGGAGGGACGAACGGAAAGAACCAAAGGAATGACTCTAGTTTCACCGTACTATAACGAGGTTATATCGAGAGGTACATTCGTTCTAATCGTATCAGCGTTTCGTGAAAGCGACGCTTTACGTAGAAAATTGTCGATGAAATAGTTTATTCGACACGTAATTTGCAAGCTTAATTTTTCCTAGCCAATGTTGATCGGGTAGTTTTATCTATCGTCTATAGTCTATAGTAATGCATTTCTCGCTACTAGAACATTTTGTCCTGCGATGCTAGAAATTCGATATAAAACTGATTATAAAGGACAATTAAAAAAATCGTGAATCCGTATAAGAATTACCAAATGATCGAAAATCTTCTAAATTATTTTGTAATTTGTAATCGTAACGATTTATTTCAATTCTCCTCTCGACAGAAGAATGTAATATATATAGATAATAAATGTATCGTGAAAAAGGTTAAAAAGTTAAGAGCCTCACGGATTTACAAATTTAGCGCGTCGATTTCCGAAATCGACCATGCCATTCTCCAAAAAATAGTCTTTCGTGTAACCGGCAAGGCCGGAACACGATGCGACGGAGCGGACCGCCTTGTGTTGTCCGTATTTTACTTTGTGCTCGGTGCGTAAGAGGATTATATACTTTCCGCATGGAGACGGAGATAGGTGTTCGTAAACGTAGGCGAAAAGAGAAAGAGACTCGCGGGAACGATCTGAGAGGGCGAGCGTTTACCGAGAGACATAGAACGAGACAGCCATCCGGTATACGAAAGACGCCGCAAGATAGAAGATAGAGAGGGGTGGTGGTTGAACAGGGAGGTAAGTGGTGAGTATGCTTCACTTTTCACGGGGGCGCCATTGTTCCCTATTATCCGGCGTGATTAGTCGATGATGCAGGTAAGCTACCACGGGGGGTCCCATTATACTGCCGGCAGAACTACTCAGTCATCCGCGAACTGCGTGAGTTTCGCCTGGAATATTGCGACCATCCTCTAGCAACGTGTCCTCTGTCCCTCCTCTTCTGTTCCTCGCATTCTACCTTCGTCTTTCAACCAGTTAGACGGATCGGTATTCTTTTTCGCAATGGTCCTTCAATGGCCACCGATGCTTCTTTCTCGTCTGTTTCGAAGCCTGCCACCGAAATCGGTCGCCCCGCCGACCTGCTGTGAAATTTATACTCTTACCATGGGCCGCAACAATGATCGTGGCCTCTGCCGGCCGTTTTTGCACGGCCGATTTGTATTATCGTGCCGAAGCCGCCCTTTATCCCCGGAACGCGAATCTGCTTTGCCGAGTAATTAGACCGTGCGCCGACCGTATCATCGTTCTCTTTCTCTCTCGCTCTCTCGTTCGCTCTGGACAACGTGCACCTGGAAGATCGATCGGGAGGATCGATCGACGACCACGTTTAGCGGGCGACGAGATCGTGGCCGATCTCTGCCGTGGATACGGAAGAGGCTGGTTTTTAGCAGAGACGCTAATTGCGCTGGGAATTTGGTGCAATTGATGAAGCTCGTTTCTCAAATTATCGGAGATTATATTCCACTTATGAATACGTAAAGAGATGATTTTCGTAAATAGCTGCATAGGTATTATACGCGAGAACGAGTTGATTCGAGTTGTTACACCGCGATTGTTCCTTCCGGTTGGATGGCTGTTGTTTCAGTGGGAAACTTAATCGCGTGATCGAACACTCATAACACACGACACCCCCGCGCGTGCATCACAATGGCGGAACGAGACGGAAGAACGTGGCAAGGCGGCGCTCGACAGAGATCGATCAGAGTCGAACAACCGTGACATAATACCTTTAACGAGGGATACACGCAGCTGACAGGTAAAGAAGAAAAAAGAAGTTGGGAGGACGGAGGGAGGGGTGGAGGGAGGAGAAAGATTTCAAGAGCAGCGGTTAGATAACAAGCGATTAACGGCCGGTCACACAGCTTGAAACCTGGTGGATG